CAGTTTGAGAGCTCTAAACTCTAAGCAAAGATTTACTATTAAACTGTGTAGACTATTTTATTGAAAAAAATTATCTGAAAAAAACAACAACATTTAACCAAAAAATAAAGAGAGAAAAAATTACCAACTTAGTTGAATTTTTTCGACTACGTTAAACTAATTAAAAAATTCAATTTTTACATTCTTTTATGAGTCTAAACAATGCATAGCATTGTTGCAACTTTTCAAATAATAAAAAAATTAAATTGTAATTTCTTTTCATTGTGATTTTATAACTGTCAAAGAAGGCATTTGCTAAACATAGACAAAACAAAATTTTAACAGTCATGAATAACTGTTACAAACAGGCAACAGTGATAAAAATAGAATATTGTTTGCCAAAACGTGCTACTTCCTCCGAGATTCAGCCTTAAAAAAATAGCTTAATACAGTTAGCAATAACTAGATCTATTCAATAACAAGTCACAACAGGTATCAATACTGACAGATTGAGTTGTATAATCTAAGTTCTGCTAGCATATTAACAGAGTGAACGCTTCAAAATATTGTAATAAGGAAATGAAGTAATATAACAAATACAAAACAAGTTAATAAGTATAATTTAGAAAACATTAAAAATTTGTTTGCTATATTTTTTAGTTTTTTTTATAGATATTGTTAGCGAAAGTATTATCTACTTTTTGCACAAGGCAAGGAACACTAAGCAGAATAAAGAACAGTTATACATTAGTGTCATTATCGTCTATATTACACATAGCAGTTTTAAACCAGGGGCAGACAATGTAAGGAAACATTTAAAAAAAAAAAAAAATGCTGCAGAAAAGGAAAGCAACTAAATGAGCAAAAAGCAAATTGTTTGTTTGCTTAACAACATTAACCTTTCATCATAAGCACATTCATACAAACATTCACACAAGTCTTTTAAACATACCTGCAGAGTTGAAAGAAAAATTGATAAATACGTAAAAATTTCATCTATAATGAATACAAGGTATTGAAGATTGAATATCCTAAATTTTCAGAAAAAGAGACTGATGGATTTATCTTGAGAATAATATGCTTCATATCATTAACGAAGAAACTTGCCCCATTTTAAATTACGCAAAACAAGATTTCTACAAGTTGGCATTGAACATTCAGAAAAACAAGAACAGAACATAGACAAAGGTTTGCATTGAATATTCAGGAAGAAAAAAAAAAACTAGATTTTCCCTGGCTGACTTCATTGAGTTTCCCTGAATTTCGTTACCAGTGTCATAAATTTAATTATTACTTCTTCAAATATGCCTAGTTCGTATACAAAAAATAAGTTACAAACGCAAGGAAATTATTAAAGCGAAAATAAAAAAATTAAAAAATTATTACAAGACCCCAATATCGATTTCAGAGGGCAGGAAATGAAGCCTGAAATTGAGAATCTCTTGCAAAATGTAGCAGATTTACGGATGAGGGGCAAAAATCCTTCCAACTGAATATACTGATAATGTCTCAGTATACGCACACGTAGCACCCACAAGTATTTCATCAAACATGTAAAATGAATGGTGTTTTCATATGCTACAGGTATGCCAAAATTGACTGGGGTTGAATTAATTTTGAATGCATTGATTAGAATAATGTCTTTTTGTATAATTCGAGGTGCAAAAATCAATGAAGTAAAGAAAAAACCTCACTACACTTTCGAAAAGGGAAAAATTAAGCCCTTTTTAAAAACATCTAATAAAAAAAAGCACTTTTAAAAAACGAAAATAAGCATCTTTAAAGAATGCTGTGCACCCTGCTATATTTCTAAAAATTCATTTGTAAAATCACGTAGGACAATATATATGAAAGAATATACAGGTATCTCAAAATTGTCCTAAACTTTTATGGGCAACAATAACTAACGAAAAAAATATATATATTGATTCAATTGCAATTCTAAACTTGTAAAGTAATTACAAATTTCTCTTTTTTTTGTTAGTAGTGTGGCTAATTATGCAAGCAATAGGAATACAAATAGAACTGGAAAAGAATAATTAGAAACAAAAAGAAACAGCCAATAAAAGAATCACTAGATATACAGAAAAATACAGGAACGTTGTTAAGTTTCAAGCATGATGGGAATTTCATTTTAAACAAACAATTGTTCAACCCACGAAAAAAAAGAAAGAAAAAAAAGATGAATTTTCCACAAAAATGCATGTCCCTTGTACTTACTCAAACAAGATAGGACATGGAATTTCACAAACAATAGAAAAACTCAGAAAAACAATAAATTTTTTATAAGATTATTTATGCACCTTAGGGATAAAAAGAAAGAATGAGAGATATGTTAAACAGGAATTAATGGAAGCATGGAAAATCCACAACACTTTGAAATGAAATCTAACTGATCCTAGTTTGATATCTCCTGAAGCCAATGTACATTATCTAGGTAAAAGCTTACATTCTTTGAAAAAAAAAAAAAAAAAAGAAGGCCGAATACTGCGCATACTAAATAATCCAAGAAGATTAGGACAGAATTCAACTTGGCTTAAGCAGATTTTTTAACTTTTAAGTTGACCACATTAAATACAAAACAAAAAGAATGTACTCAAACAAGATTTCATTTTATAACCAGCGTTGAACAGCTCACCCAATTTTTAATTTATGATTATTAATTATTCAAATCCATAGCCTTGCAATTTTGAACCTAAAGCAGAAGATAAGGGAACTTCTGGATCAAACATTGGGACTTTTTAATGGAACTAACCAGAATTAGTCCTACATGGAAAGAAAAACTATGAATACCTTCCACGGATAGCCCAATGGTAAGGAAGTTTAAACCTTTGATTCATTTCCTAATGAGGATATTTTACATCAGCATTAGGGTCAGAATTCTAATCGATCAGCCATCGCTGGGATTCGTACCCTACTCCCAGTTTTGGAAGCGAACTTCTTGGAGCAACATATCATATTCTCCGACTTTAACTAGCAAAGATTGGTAACCTTAAACTATTAACCAGTTAATCTTAGGTTTCTAACATGGCTGCTTCATGCTAATATGTTAATAAACATAATAAATACAATTTCTCTATAAGTTTTACAGGATGCATAGCCAAATCTCTCAACAAAAAATAAGCACCTTTTAAATACTTTTTAGGCACCATATGCATTATCAAAATTCAAGATAATGTTCAAAGATTTTACAAGATCATGATAAAGCAACTTATTTCTGACAAAGAACTCTTTTCTTGATTATATTAGCCACCCTAAAAAGATCCGAGAGATTTTTCGGTTCGATTTCAGAGGGTGGAAAAGGGAGCCTGAAATTAAGAATATCTTTCAAAATGCAGCAGAGTTGCACACAAGAGTGCTAGAATCTCACCAAACTCAGCTCAGTAGACGCACATGCAAACTCGCAAATATTTAATCAAACATATTAAATGATCGGCACTTTCGTACCAAAGTAGGCCAAAATGGATTGTGGTTGAAAGAATTGTGAAAACGTCGAATAGAACAATGTGAAAAGCACGCTTTTGCATGATATGTGGTTAAGAAGAAAAAAATATCATTTTCCAAAAATGAAGCACTTTTTAAAAACACCTAATGAAAAAAGCATCTTTAACGTCTTTTTAAAGTCGAAACTAAGCACGTTTAGACACTTTTTAAAGAAAGAAGTGGCATTTCGATGGTAACAATGGAAATTCTTGGGAGGAGGAAATCAAAACAATCCGCAGGTATAGATGTCAAGACAGAGAAAACTCTTTCACACAGTATTATGACATACACACACACAGAGGAAAAAGGGATCATTCACACTCACCTAAAAAACGAATACAGACAACATTATTCTTTTCTGAATTTAAAAGGTTTTGAGAGAGATCTTGCTGCACTTTGCAGGGTTCCTAAAAAGTTTTTTTGTTCCTAAAAAAGGTTGTTGAAATTGTGTTAATATTAAACCCAGGAAGGCTTTCATCTTGGTTAGTACCAAAGCATAAAATAATAAATAAAATTGCAAATAATAAAATAATAATCAAATAAATAAAAGATAAAAATAATATAATCGTTTAAATTCTCAGCTGCTGAAGGAGTAAAAATCCCTAGGTGGCACAAAAGATAATTAGTAAGTATTAAATTTTGCCATGCAAAACTGAAAAAATAATAGTTAACTTTCATGAAGATTAAACAGTAATTACAATAGACTCGGACGAAAGATTTAAAAAGACATACTACACAGAACTAACAAACAAGCACAAAACTTGAATGCCATGACCTTCAATTGTTTACGTTACGAACATCGGTTGGTACGAGACACAAAAAAGATGATCTAACATAATTATTAATGTTCCAAGAGATGCATTCTTGATAAGTTTAATGGGTAAATTTTTAGATAATAAATTTGGGAAGTTGCTAATAAAATAAAGGTGGCAACTAAATACATTTTCGAGGGAAAAACTTTGAAATTAAAGTATTTATACACTAAGTACACATTTTTAAACAGAATTATGACAACAGTTTTAATTATTGAATGAAATATTTATTTATATATAAATTTAACATTAATATCATTGTTGAGTTTTAGAAGGAAAATAATTTAAAAACCTCAGTATAAATAAACTTTAAATAATCAAAAGCAACATAATTTTCTTATAATCAGAAATATATTTAAAAGAAATCAAATATTTTTCTTAGAAAAACTACACAAAATCAATGGCTATAAATAAGTTTTTTTTCCCTCTATTTACTGAAACATTATTTAGACCTTAAGAGTTTTTTCTATGCCGTTGCCATTTCAATGATGCACCTATTTTATTTTTACCTCACTTAAAATAATTGTTTTTAAAAAAATACCAAAATAATTTTTTGTTTTTGATTTTTCAGATTTGAAAAATATAGCAAAATACATTAAGAATGAGCATTTTTAAATTGCATGCATAGAATAATATTCTAAAAAGAACAAATACTATGTTTCCTTATCACAGTCTACCCCCAAGTAACCACATTCATAATTCAGTTGGAAGTATTTTAGTACTCACGTCCTCAGGGTCACCACACTGGTCGTAGGCCATACTGTCCAGCGATTCCCTCGAACCCCTTCGACTGAAGTCTTTAGATCGACGCTTATCTTTATTAATGACAGTCAAATCAGCACTTAGGAAATGAGATGACTTCCCTTGTCTACCCGAGTCTAGAGCCTGCAAACAATTATTCATTTTATTAACAGATATATAACATTAACCAATATATTAACATTATAAAAATAAAAAAACCTGGAAAGGATACAATGAAATAAAAAAAAGATAACAAAATTTTTATAACTTAGAAGAACACATAGAAATGGCACCAAGGCCAATTTTTTTTAAAAAATGAATTTTAACAATGTAAGTCCACATGGATAACAATGTTTTATGGATATTAACACAAATATGTTATTTATTTTAAGGACAATTGAACAGCAGTTAAGTTTAAGTAAGTGTGAAACTCTGTTGAGGCAGAATAAATGCGTAAGCATTCTAAGGTTCAAAACTTGCAATAAATCTTCATTCACTTTTTTTAATATCTTGACAAGAAGATTTATTTTCTTTACCAGCAGTTTTGTTGTTATGAAAGCTATATACAACAAACATTTGACAAATTTTTTTTTTTTAGATTCAAAGATAACAATTAGAAGATCACAATAGAATATTTCAGTACAATGTACAAGCAAAGGGGGGGGGGAACGTAAAACAAGATTTCGAAATTTTGACTTAACATATAGATAATTAAATATGCGGAGTTTTATTATTTTTGAAAGAGTTTTTATTCTGCACATATAAATTTAAGATGAAACATATGCAGAAAACTTAAACTGCTGGCTTTTTAACTTTTATTCAATCCTATTTTCTAAACATTAATTGAAAAAAAAAAGAAGTATAAAAATAGAAGGAAAAAAACCGAACACAGAATTATAAATATCTGATTAAACTTACAAAGTTAGGAAATAAACACATTTCTTACATTTCGAAGATGTTTTAATCTAAAGTGTGTAGATCTTTTTTTTTTGTGTGGATACATTATGTATACAAAACTGATGCTACATTAGTTTTCATAACATTATATGAAACAGTTACCGGGTTGTTAATTTCAAATTGCTTGAACTTAATATAAAAGGACAAAATAAAAATAGATACTTCCATTTAACTTTCTCACGCAGAAGTGTTGAACAAAAGTATGCAACAGCTTTATGCAGAAGAACAGTACAAGAAAGTAGGATACAAACACCAATTTAAAATTACTATTTCACAAAATCTAGAAATTTAAGAACTAACAAATTAATTACTTTCCAGAGTGAAAGACTTAAAAAGCTAAGAATTAGAGATTTAAATCATTTCATTATTTTTTAAAAATATATTTTAACAGAATAAGGAAATTTTGCTCAAAAGAAATGCATCAATGTTAAGAAAACTCCTACAAAACAACAGTAATGAAGTCGGAATTTATTTAACAAGCTTATAAAACATTTTTAATGTTAGTTTTGTTAACCTATCAGGAGTCTGTCTGGGTTTTTTTGAGAGGTACCTATTTTGTGAAAATTAAAAATTTTATTAAAAAGATAAAAATATTACTAGCACTAAAAAATATTTTCATTATGAGAACATTTTTGACTAGGTCATACAGAAAAAAGTTTCACAGAGAAAAAATTTTTTTAAATAAAAAATAAATGTCTGTTAGAATAAATTTACAATAGTGTTTAAGATAATGTTCGAATTTTGACTCTCTGTAAAGTTTACAAAGAGAGACCCCTGTTGTTTCATTTGAAAAAACTCAGCTAAAAAAAAGAAGCTCGCTTTGATATGGCATGAGTGACCATTTAGGTTTACCATATTGCAGTATCTGATCAAACATGTGCTATCTTTTCTTAAAAAACATCAGTCAAAAAAGCTCTTCTTTTCCCTAAATTGCAACGAGAACAGTGTTTGCACGAGAGCTTGCTTCATTGAAATTATTTTGTGAAACTATCATTTTTCCTAAAGTTGAATTTGTGAAAGTACCGCTAAACGGTAGTTAATATACCAGGGACAGACCCCTGCCTAAAATACGAAAGAAAAAGACGTAGCTATTTTACTGAAAAGAAATTAATAAAAATATATACTTCGACACAACATACTTTATACAGGAACATTGAAAATATATATTTCATTTAAGACCCTATTAATGCATTAATACAATACAAAAAACTATGAAATGAAATACATTTTCCTACATTAAGCAATTAAAGTACCAATAAATTACTTTAATTGCTTACCAGAGAGTCAAAGACAATATGATCGTAACAAAACAAAATGTGTAACAAAACAAGTAAACAAAATGTGTCAACGTCTTTAAAGCAAGTTTACCTATTATATATGGCCTTTAAATTTACTCTTAGAATAAAGTGCATAAAAAGTGATTTATTTTAAATTGCTCATACATATTTATTTGAAAAGGTTTCAAAGTTACTGATACTACAAATTCAGTGTTAATAAGTTACTAGTCATTATTTATTTGTTTGTTATTAATAAATTTGAGAAAATTATTAATTACTGAAATATATAATCCTGTATATACATAAATTATCTTAATCTTGAAAATACATAAATCTTCCAGCAGAAACTCTGGTCTTTAGAAATCTTTAGTAATTGATAATGCAGTATTTAATTATTCAATTTGAAATAAATCAAAAAGAAAATTAACTTTAAAAAAATGTTTTTTTTTCACCCTGTAGTTAATAATAAAAAAACAACAGTGTGTGTTAAGGCATAAAGCAAGCTGAGACTAATGTAATTACATTTTGAAGGGAAAAAAAAAGAATACTATTAAGTTTTCTAAAAGGTTAACTAATAATTAGAATGTTATAAATCAGGGTTGGCAAGGTTTAGGACATAATGGATTAATTCAGGGTTTAAACCTTGGTTTAAACCGTTCTGTCCAAAACCCTTTTACTCAAATTATGTCAAAATTTTATCTGAACAATATTTAAGAGGTAAAAAAAAACATAGAACTAATAACATATCTATATTATATAAAACGCTGATATGTATGTATAAATAAAACCGATGATATTTCTTTTCTCGCGTTGGCAACAGTTTTCATTTTTAATTGATAGGCTTCGGCGCGCAAGAGTACGTAGTGAGCATCATATGGCTAATCTATATTATATAAAACGCTAATACGTTTTAATTGATAGGCTTCGGCACGCAAGAGCACGTAGTGAGCATCATATGGCTAATCGGGTGAATTCTTTAGTTTGTGTAGAAAAATTAAATCCTTCACAAAGAACGTTAATCAATTGCGTCAAAATTGGAAGTAGAATTATTACTATTTATATGCAAGTCATGTAATTTGCGCTCAACAGTGGCTTACTTTTTACGAAATTTCTTGAAAGTAAAAACTTAAAATGAAGTATTTTCTCAATTTTGTTGTGAGGGCAAAATATATTTTCAAGATATGAATTCAGAATCAAATTTAATGCCCCTACAATGAATAAAGAAACTAAAGTAGTATAAGAGTTTGTTTTTTGAGCCTTAAGTTGCAAAAACATTGTGATTTCTTACAAGTTTTGAAGTTAATACGGTTCGCAAACGGTTAATTAAAAATGCTGTTGTGCTGCATAAAGTTATTTTTCCTTTATGAACATAATATGTGTTTCTTATTTAAGAAAAAGAGAGAGAGAAATCCTAAGCAAGATTTGTAANGTCATAAACAGGTTTATTTATCTATAGTACTATTCAAGAATACTTTTATTTCATTCATGTTCAATTCTTTTAGCATAGTGGTGATACATCACCAGTGTCAGTAACTGAAACTGATGTTATGCCCTTCAAAACTGTTAATACATTTTTCAGTTATTTTGTATTTTTAATTTAAACTAATATATTTATATTTAAAAACAATTTTTTTAAAAATAGATGTCTTTTTTATAATCCTGTAATGCAGAAATTATAAAATTTTTTAAAAAAAATATTGTGAAAAATAAAAGGTTAATTTTTGAACAAATTTAGTATTTTTTTTAAGAAAAATTATTCTTTTTAATATTGCCATATTTATCTTTATGCAAAAATATTATTAATCAGTATTAAAAGCATATTTATATTTAAAGGATTAGGTATTTACTTTTGTTGTTCAATGAATTGTGGAGATTCAAAAATTATAAACTTATTCCAATTATATTATATTATTTTCTTTTAATAAGTTATAGTAAATTGTATAAAAAATAGTAAATATTTATTGATACATGTAATTATTATGGGTACAATGGTTACAACTATAGAATTTTTACCTTATACCAAAGTTCAAGGTTTTGGACACTTTACCCAGTTTAGGACAGTTTTACCCACGCGTCCTGTCCAAAACCAGTTTAGGACGTCCAAAACTCCAACCCTGTTAATTTACAAACCCTGTTAATAATAAAAATTATTTTTCAAATTTTTTATATATATTTTATTTGTTTAAAGATATATTAATAGCTGTCAACATGGATAGAAAAAAATCCAGTAGATTTTACGAAATATTAATTTTTATGATAATTGTTGCATAATGTACATAATATTTTACACATAGGGAATTTTAGGGATTTTTATAGTCATCAAAATAGAAAAACTGCAATATTTTCAATTATGACAGACATTAAACATACATGTTATGCATTATGTTTATTCATAATTTCGAATATTAATAGGCATTTAATTCATAATAAATAGTTAAAAGATTTTTTTAAAGAGAGTTATGAATAAAAATAAACTGAATGTTTTAGAACAAAAAATGTTTTGAACTAATTACTATAAATGAAGTTCGCTTTCTCATGTATTAGTAATACTTATTTAAATATTCAAGCAAGCAATAATCTGCACAAAAATTCTATTTGTATAGGGATATTTTTTAGGAAGCTTAATCATTTTTAGGGAATTTTTAAAATGTACAAAGAACAAACTAAACTTTTTAAAATCTTTATGACAACTTGTTTACAATTTATTTTTTCTATTTCATTTATTGAAGTGACTTGTTGTTGTTGACGTATGCCTGTTAAGCTTAAGGGGTGAAATTGTTCTTGTTTTTCCAGATGCTCAAGAATTCGACGTCTGCCACACCCATACGTCATGCCCGTTTATAGGGCGGACCCATTCATTCATCCACAGATCGTAATTTTGACCTGAATCAGAGAATGATCCATCTCCAATTCAGTACCTCCAGAGGTCTTGATTTACTATGGGGAACATGGAGGATTTTGCGACTTGACAGATTTAACGTGCATCAGTCACCATTTTACTACATGGGGAGTGTTCGGCCGGTGGAGTTTGAACCCACGAACTCTCGGACATGGGCCCAGCGCTCGAACGACCAGGCTATCAAAGCCTATTTAAATGACTGAAAATATCAAAATAAAGATTACAGTTTAAAAAAAAAATAATGAGTCACCTCTTTCCTTGCTCTTAATGCACAGTCTTCCAGGGTGTCTGCAGCTTCATATTTTCCCTGACGTCTATACAAAGCGCCCAAATTTTTCAGGGTTGTTGCAACAGTTGGACTATGAAATATAAAATAGAGAAAAAACAATAAAAAAAGGGCAAATAATGTTTTATTTCCATTATTACAATGATAGAATATTTCAATATTTCATTGTTACAAAAAAAAAAATGACATAAGGTACTGTAAAAGTTCTAGTAGTAAACATTGCAATGCAAATTTAACCATGTTCTAAGATTGAATGAGGCAAATAAAGTAAATTTTAAAAAATTCTAATAACGCAAACTTCACAAGCCTTTTCCAGGCACTTAGAAAAGAAAGAGTTGAAACAATAAAATAGCTGAAAAAAATTCAAAAGCAAATATTTCCCCCCCTTTTTTTTCTGCAAAATTATTATCTAAAGATACTTTTCTTGTTCATTAGAAAGGAAAGAAATACTCCTGATTTTTCTGTTCTCATTTTGGAATAAAATACATTTGCCACTGACTGGCTTGCTTCAGCTAGAATTTTAAATTGATAAAATAATAACAAAAATTCTGATATCACAGAAGTCAAAAAGATAATTCGCTCTAGAAATGATGTTTTTTCTTTCATTTTTTGAAAGAAAACCAAGAAAGTAATTTATAAAGAACACGATAAAAAACATTTTATATTTCAATAAAATATGACTGTGGGTGGGGAGGACAAATTCAGATATTCGGAACACCATGAAATTGGAGGGAGGGGTAAAATCCATTATGAAAATTAGATTTTTTAAAGACCTAAATCCATGATTTTTTTTAAAAAATAGTTAAAATCATGACAAATTTTGTTCAATGCCAAAATTCATGACTTTCCAGGTGTGCGATACCCTGCTTGAATTACACAAAACGTCATGCATTTGTACATTCCTATGCACTTTAAAAACTAAGTTAAAATTATAATTTTGAAAAACCTTGATGTGGAGAAATATTTCAGATGAAATCAGATATTGTTCACCATACTTTCCAAGGAATGTTTTTTTTTTTTTTTTTTAAAAAAAAATCTCATTTGATTAGAATGCAATATCACAATAACAATTTACCATAATGGATGCACACTTTTAAAAGGCAGGATACTATAGACAAATTAGATTTTATTTACCAAGAAGTAAATTGTTGCAATTTTAGCTAAAATAATATTTAAACAACCATAAAAACATTTTAAAGATATCAGAAAAATAAAGTTTTAATAAAAACCTGTCAACTTTAGCAGCTTTATGCCAGCCACCATATTCCCCATAAGGGGAATTTTCTTTTTGTTTGCTCTTGTTTTCTTCCCTTTCTTCAGCTACTTGCCATATTGGCTTATTTTCACCTGTTTGAAAAATAGGATTAAACAAATTGCTATGATGAAAAATAAAACCTATATAGTCATATTAATTTAATAAATTTTTTTTCACTTCAACAAACTTCACTTATGACTCAATTTTAATTTTATTTATTACAACCAAAACCTTATAATATATCACTTAGTTTTTGTTACGTAAAAACAAAATGCAATACATATACAGGGATGAGATTGGCCAAAAGCCAAAAAAGCTGAATTTTCACGCGAGTAAATNAACAAAATGCAATGCATATAGATATAGTTTGGCCCAACATTATTTTATTCTTATTTTAATTAAGATTAAGTTAGCAACAGTTATAGATCTCTCATAAACAATTTTTTAAGAACAAATCAAATTTTATAAATAAATTAGGCGAATACTCTTAGGCGTTGTAAGTACAGGGGGTGGTGAGAATACACCCCCTCAATAATTACACATAAAACTCCTGCTTTGTATTTTAGGCAGAAAAATTTTTTCTCAGAAAACACCACTGATTTAAATTAAGCTAGATTATAACAAGTTGAGATATAAGAAAAAATCATTTTAATTTCAAAAGAACACAATAGCATTTTTCTTTTTCTCGACAAATATTTAATTTGGAAACATTTTAACCCAATTTTCAGTAGAGGTCATTTTACGTTTAATATTGAAACGAAGCAGGTATGAATAAAATTGTCAGTCGGTAACTTAAATCTAAATTTTTACTAGAAACTATGTTTCTTACTTGTTATAGCTAAATAAATTTAATAACTAATCACTTTAGTAAAAGTTCTATTACAGTTAACTGAAGGAAGAATTAGTTTCATTTATTTTATATGTGCTGCACAAATGCGCATTAGTTTCATTGATGAAATTCTTCATGAAAGCAAATTTGCCCCATTGTTTGTTAATTGATCTAGGAGTTGCTTCATCTCATGTGGGTTAAACATTTGTAAAAACCTAAATTTTCTCACCGAGTATTGAAAAGCATAAGATATTGCGTTAAGGTATATTTGATTGCACACAAATTATGTACATAGTTTTAGGACGGTTAAAAATTAAACCCTGTTAAAAAGAGTTTTAAAATATCCGACATTTAACAGAAGCTATACTAAAATACTACTGAAAATTGAATTATAAAGTTCACTTTAAGCAGTTGTCTCTACTTCATAGCTAAGTTTTATATTAATCATTCAAACTATCTCTTTTTACAAACTTTTTCTTTTTAGATAGTAATAAACCCAAATTTCAACAGGTACTTAGACAATAGCCTGGTAAAAGATTAGATTTTCACCGGGCACTTGAACCTGGCAAAATTTTAGAAGATGCCTAATTGCAATGTTTTAGAGAGGTATTCAGAAATTCAAACTAATGAAACATACACACTCGAAAAATAAGTTACATAAAATATTTTTTAGAATAAAAACCTACCATCGATACTCCCAAATTCTCTTTCATGAGCCCTAGTTAAAACTTGCTTGTATAAAATCTCAGCCTCTTTATATTTACCTTGCTTAAGATATGCAGATGCCTAAATATTTCAAAATTACAATTAGAAGTAATAAAAACAAGAAATAATTTTTGCAATAAAATTAAAAGCAACAGTTACTTAATGTAAGATCAAATACAAAATTATTTTCCTTAAAATGCAAAAGTTTCAAACTACTGAACATGAATTACAGCAAATTAGGATAACAGGGTGCGTAGCCAAATCTTTTCACAAAAAACTGAGGTGCTCGAGCAAACACAAAAACGATAATAAAAAAGAAAGAGCTCAATCTATTTCAAAGAAATGTTTAAATCTCTATGGCGCTCCTAAAATGAACCCTGCTATGATCATTCTGGGTAGAAGTTCATACACTCATTATGTACTAGCATAAAAGTTTTCTTTAACACAGTTGAAAAGGTCACAAGAGTAAAGTAAGCTGATATAATCATAGCTGCCAATATGGATAGGAAAAAATCCAGTAGATTTAACAAAATAAATATAAATTTCAAGATAGCTGTTGCATAACATACTAAATATTTTACATATAGGGAGTTTTAAAGATTATTATTTTTATTTTTTTTGTCATAGAAAAACTTTATCACTCTAATAACTATATAAATGGCCTGCATTATTTTCCGTTTATGATCAAGATTAAATGAACTAGAAATGTTTTATGTTATTTTAATAGTAATAGACAAGTAATTTATAAAAAAAGTTAAATTAAAAAAAAAAAAATGCTTCTTACTGATTACTGACAATGAGGCTCGCTTCATTATGAATTAGCAATACTTATTTAAACATTCAAGCAAACAATAAATTCTATTTCAATAGGGATTTTGTTTAGGAATCTTACTCAATTTAGGGAATTTTTTAAAAAAAGTACAAACTCTAGGAAATTTTTTATCATACCAGTAGAAACTGGCAAAATCTAGTAGAGTTGGCAGCAATGTTAGCAACTTTCAATGCAAATTTATGGTCAAAATCAGTGTTGGCGTTTTGGACATGAGTGTGTTTAACCGTGACCTACGAGATGAGAAGGCCTTCCAACTGCGTCATCAAGCCCTCGTGACGTCACCATACTTCAATCATTCCCCGCGACATGTGACACTTTCTTCTTCGTTTGTTTTAGTCAGGCGTACTAGTATTTNGTAACCATTAATATAATTAATATGTGTAACCATTGTACATATAATAATTACATATAAATAAATATTTGATACTTTTTATACAATTTGCTTTTACTTATTAAAGAAAAATAATAAAATAGGAAGAGATTTCAAACTTTTGAAGCTCCACAATTTATTGAATAGCGAATATTGAAAGTGAATATCTTATCCTTTAAATACGAATAAATATGCTTTTAATACTGATAAATTACGTTTTTGCATAAGGATAAATAAATCCAATATTAAAAATAACATAAGACTTTTAACTGTTTCTTGTTCATATAATGTTCTAGTAACATTAAACTGCTTCTTCTTCAAAAATTAACCTCTTATTTTTCCCTATATTTTTAAAAAATTATGACATAATTTGAATAAAAGGGTTTAGGACAGCACGGTTTAAACCCTAGTTTCAACCATGGATTAATCCACTCTGTCCTAAACTCTGCCAATTCTGGTCAAAATGACTGATCCTTTTAGAAAAAAGCTAATTACTATAAACAAGATTTACCAAGTTATTTTTAGTCTTAGCCACATTAGGATCATCAGGACCTAAAGTCTTTTCGTATATCTCGAGAGCACGTTGGTAGTATCTCTCAACCTCTTCATATTTTCCCTGGTTTTGACATAAAAGAGCAAGATTGTTCAGCTGTTTCGCTACATCAGGATGATCTTTGCCAAGAACCTAAGATAGATGAATAATGTTCTTTGTATTAGTATTATGCTACAAATATTCTTAATGAAATACAGTGATCTCTCGCTATTACGATATCCGATACAACAATTCCCTTTATTACGATAATGTATCTTGGTCCCGACGAACTTGTATATGAATTAATGTTATCTTCCTCTCAATATTACGATATTCTCTGAAGCAATAAACCCCTGTTAAACGATTTCCCCCCTTCAAATTTCAACCTTATTTTATCATCTTTCGCCATTTTTTCTGACAAGAGAAGATTCACTGCTGACCACTCCAAGAGCTTCCATGCTTAGAATTGCCTCTCTTATCTCTTAAGAAGTAACAATTATAACATTCCTATCTGATTTCATTTCCTTCATCTTAAAAGCTGATCATGAGTCACAAATGACCACACATTAACACCTGAAAGAGTAGAGGGTGGGTGGGGTATCATTCACAAACGAAAACCATTTTCGTGCTTTGAACTCAATGCATACTTTGTCAGTTGACTTAACAGTAAAAAAATGAAAAAATATAATTCATTTAAATTGTTCTTAATAATTAACCATAATTAACGCTCTGCAAATGAATTTTTGATATAATATATATATATTTATAATTAATAAATATATAACATTAAAATTTTAAAATTAAATAAAAATATTATCGTGCCTCCTAAGTATGCAAGCCCTCAATATATTCCCCTACAGCAGTGCTTCCCAAACTTATGACTTTTGTGTACCCTTTCTAAATTTTTCGCAACGCTGTGTACCATTAATAAAAAATGAATGTATTTTTTTAAAAATATGTTTTTCTTTTTTGGTACAAAGTTTTGTTAATTTGTTTATTTGCATCGGTGAGAAGGATATTATTTTTGCTATTTAAAAAAATTGCACACAAATTTAAAAATCACAACTGGCTGTCGTCACCACTAATTATTGAATGCTAACTCTGCAAAAAAATATCCAAATACGTACTCGTAAATTGACACGGCTAGCTTTGTTTTTATATAAAACTTTTCGAAATTTTCGTTTGTTGCAAGATATTTTGCATAAGAACGCGTACCCCCGTTAAACTCTTCTCGTACCCCTGGGGGTACGCGTACCACACTTTGGGAAACACTGCCCTACAGCAATATATTTATTTGGTCTCCAAAATATTGTTGTACCGAGGTTTTACTGTATTATCCAAAATTTATAAAGCTGGAATCTATTTTATTTTTAAAATTTTGACATAAGTTAGCAACATACAACTGACACTATCTATAGAAGATCATCAAAATTGGCACGAAACATTTTTTAGATATGAGTATCAAAAATTTGCATTTCTTCATTTAAAAAAAAAAAAAAAACACTTAAAATTGAATTGAAGTTGACTTTAGTAATTTTTATCCAAAATTAAAACTCTACATATAATGTAAGGAAAAAAATTGCGACATAAAATTCTAACTCTTAAATTCAATTTAACAATTATGTTAACCCAGGGTTCCCACTCTTTTAACAAAGCGAAAACTAAGAACCTTTTTTTGAAAAATTAAGAACTTAAAAATAGTATGATTGTTTATCATTGAATATACATATGCAATCAGTGACAATGTCAATTATTTACCTTTCTTAAAAAAGATATATAAAAAGTTCAACTTTTGCCTACCCGGGTTGGGTCTTATGCAGAAATACTTTCAGATTGTTAAGAGTTAACAATACGTATGAAACTAATTCATATTCCATTTTCAATGATTTCATTAAAATCAAATTGTAAAATGAAAGTGCAGAAATTAAAATGCACATTTTTCTTTTCGTTTATGAAAAAAAAAGAAGAAATAAAGAAATTTGGAAAAAATATTGAAAACATTATTAGAACAAGTTTTTATATTTTACTGTATCACAATTTCAGTTGTGAGCAATTTTGCTTAATATTCAGTTATGCTTTCTTTTCTATTAATAGAATGTTACATGGGTATATATTAAAAGATTTAATACTACAAAGTTCAATTAGAGTTACGCATGAAAGTAGTTTTCTTAACTATGCCATATATAAATTATATTATAATTAAATCCTATTTCAAATAAATACAGGCCCTACTAATATCTAAGCACCTTAAATCATTCCACTATTTTTCAATTAGGCCTTTAAATTCATTGTAATTAATATTTTATAGAATAAAAATACAGTTATGCTTGAGAAGACTTATAGTTTTTAAACCAATATGCTTTTTATATTAGTTTTCNCTTCATTATTTCTTCTCCAAATTTCAAGTTATTTTTAAATGTTCATTGTTTTTAGTATTTTTAATTTTATGTTAAATTCACTTAAATTTGCAATATGTCTTCATTAGTAACTTTTAAGAACTGTAATATATAAGTAATTGTTTAGTAGTTCAATAATTGTTGACTAGATGCCGCCACTACCTAAACGGTTAACACGAAATTCGGTTAACACGAAAAATTTCGGTGGTCCCGACGATTTCGTGTTAACGGGGTTTGACTGTATTTCTTTATCATCCTCTATCATGCTTAATATTTTTCCCTACTATTATCATGATTTGATATTTTAATTTTATCCTAAATTAACAGTTTAAAACTGAAAGTGGTATTCTTTTATTATAAAGTAATCCGGTAATATCACCTTATCAGGTAATGTTTGTAAAAAAAAATATTTAAAAGTTTGGAAAAACATCATGAAAACAGTATGTAACTTAACCATTTTAAAATTATTACTAAACAGCAAATGTTTTATATTTACTTTTATTATGAGCTTTACATAAAAAATTTTCCAGCCAAAACTGTTATTAAGAATTAACTTTACATAATATTACTAGACAATCTAGCAAGAAACATGGACTAATTTTAAAGCAACCAATCTAAATTTTAATCTAATAGACATTAATAACAACAAGTTGGGATCTTATAAGCAGATTTAAATTTTTATGTAACAATCTGCTTAGTTTTCGTTATGGATTCTAGTTCAAAATTTTTTTCTAAAACTTCTTATCTTAGGACTTCATATTGTTCTTATAAGCACATGCGCTACCAGTAAAACCGAATTTCCTGAATTCTGTTGACTTTAAAGGTTAATGTGGGTCTTCTACTTAGAACTAACTGCCCCCTCCCACAAAAAATGGCATGATTTCATGTGCAGTATCCCACTAGTCCACACACTTTTATTTTAAAATGCCTTACTCTCCTCATAGAGTATCATTCTAGGCAAAAAGAATAATATATTAACGAAAGGACATGTTTTCTTGCCCGTAGCTCCCTCACACACATTCCTTCTAGTCTCTCTAAAATGCTCTACTCTCGATGCATGGACAAATTGGAGGCGATAAAAGAACAGCTTTTTGTTTTAAATATTTTTACAAGACTGAAAAATTGTACCTGTCAACTACAGTGATGCTGAAAAATTAAGCACTTTTAAAAACCTTGTACCAAAATTAAGTACTTTTAAGGGCCCATATTTTCCAAAATAAGAATTAAGCATTTTTTAAGGACTTTTAAGGACCGTGGGAACCCTGTTAACCTTAGATTTATGTTACCACTAATGTTAAGTTGATCTATGATATAATATAATTAATGATCATAATGTTATACCATAGATCAACTTGTTAATCTAACAGGCATGAGACTAGTAATTTTTCTGAAAGTGTTTAAAGTTATGTGATCAATAAGTAACATTTCTGTCATTATTTCATATAAATGGCAAAATGCATACAGAATTTGAAAATATAAATTGGTAATTCACATAACAGAAGTTTCTGGTGAAGTTTTCCTATATCAATTTTTTGTTACTGTATTTTTTATTTACTAGTAGACTAAAACTTTCATATTTAAATAAAAAATGGGGAGCCGACTTCAACATGGCTATTGATACAGGACATATACTGATTGCAATATATCAAATAATTAAGTATGCACGAATTTTTTTCCTCCCAACTTTGTTGTAATTTAGAGGAAAAAACTATTTGTGCAACTGTGATTGACAAATACACAAAAACAAACATTTTAAAGTAAAAACATTTAAAGTTGAGTTACACACTGTGGCAAATTTACACCAAAAAGAAATTTTTTAATTACTAAATTCAATTTATAGAACTATTGGACATTGCACAAAATAAATTTTTTTTATCTAAAGTAAGCTTTAAAAGCAACTGGTACTAAACTCTACCGGTTTCGAATTTATTATACAGGTTGCCCAATCAAATCTAAATAATAAAAAATCAGTGTGTTTTCCCTGTACATATTATGCACACTATATTAAGAGGAAGCAACAGTTACTGTGCTCTTGTGTGAGCTATATTGGGCTAACTATATTTATTAGTTTTAATTGCAGGAAAAACAGCTGAACATACTTAAATAATGCTATAGTAAATAAGTATAGCTGAAATATCATGGTTAAATATCCCATAGGTCACACTTTGAGTAAACACCATTTTTTAAGAGACAAAAATAAACAAAATTCCCTGAATTTTCCTGATTTGTAAAGAAAAAAAATCAAAATGTACTGCATTTTAGTTGATTTTTAAATTCCCTGTATTTTCCAGGTTTTCCCTGTGGAGCGGCTACCCTGTTATAGATCTTTTAAACGCAATGGTTTACCATATTATTAAAAAAAAATTTTTTTTTTCAAAACAAATTCTATCATAACAGTTTTGGAAATAATATTTTAATACAAAAATATAAAACAAAGCTTACTCTTTCCCTTATCTCCAATGCCCTTTTGCACAATGGTTCAGCTTCACGATATTTCCCTCTTTTACCGTAGAGCACTGCTAAGTTATTTAAAGTTGCTGCAACCTATTAAAAAAAAAAATCAAAGTTTATTTGGTACAACAATTACATATTGTTTTCATTCTTAAATCTGTCACATTAATGACACATAATAGTGAATTTTTTCTACAAATGTTATGGAGCTTAATTTAAACATTTCATAGATAATTTACACTAGTAAATACTTTAATTATAATTTATTCAGTAAACAGTAGATTTGAGGAATTGTTTCATGATTTTTATTTTGCTGTTTAAACACTTTCCTGATTATCCTGAATTCACTCGGATATGTTTATATTGCAAATATTAATTATCCTGAGAAAGCAGAAAAATAGCAGAATTTGTCATTACGTTTTGCTTTTACTCGTCCGGAAGCAAAAGAAAAAAATAATAATTATCTGCAGTGATTGGAAGTTTGTCAAGCTTTGTGTGGAAATTTTGCTGTTGGATTGTGGGACTGTACACATATTTTGTATGATTGTATACCCATAAGCAGAATATTTTCAAATGTTCTGCAACAGGACTTATTAATTTATACAAATGTTCTGCAAGCATTTCACAGCAAAAAAAAAACTTCAACTTTACGTTAAAATACTATATTTTCATTTATTAAAATACAGGATCATACACAGATACACTACATTATTTTTTAAACCAAGGCAAACATTCTTGATTTGTTACTTTTTCAATCACTTTTGAAGTACAAAATTTTGTTAATGATGATGATGAATTATTAATAAAATGCCTATAATATGAAGGTCTGAACATTAAAATAAGGGCTGCCATAATAATAATGTTTCGAAGGGACAAGTACCCAGATGGTGCACCATTTTCAAACACAAACATTTGCTGGTCTGTTGTGCCAACAACTTCTTCTGAAATGGGAATGGAAAATATAAAAGTCATAAACTTTAGGAAATTGGAAATCTCGGAATTTAATTCTTTTACGGCTTGCTTTAGAAGCTCTCTTGATAAAATAGGTGATCGATTTCTCCTGCTGTCTGCTAAAAACTGATACACCCATTTTATACAAATGTTGCAGCCAAAAGCTAATTCACTAATTTCCTCCTCAGAATGGCAAAGATAAGGGAGATAAATGTGCTGAAATTTGTGCAGGGTGTCAAATGTTCCTCTTCTAAAGAAACATCATTCCTGGGAAACAGCAAGAGGTCAAAGCTAAAGACATTTTTATTCAAGATACAATTTGTTCTGCAGGACTTCGTTTGTTCTGCGATGTACGTCACAGTTTTAGGCACTTTCCGCTTATGGGATTGTATATACGATGGTTGCTTAATTTACATAGGGGAAAAAAAATAGTGTATCACTTCACTGGCATTTGGAAACTATCATTTTTGTGTTGTCCCTTATTTTAAAAACTATCAGATAAGAACAAATATTTAACTTTTTTTCATTTGTAAGATATAACTCAGGACAATAAATTGATGCTAAATTAATTGATTTTTACACATAAAAATATAGTATATATATATATAAAATCATGTTTTAGTCCCTTGTTTTTATTAATGAAATAAAAAAAAATTTTGATTTTTTTGCATTTTTTTCCCCTCCAAAAAATTGGTAAGGGGAGCAGTTAAGATAACCCTGCAAAATGATTTATCATAAGGATAAAAGAAAAACTTTAAAAATTAAAGCATAAATGCAAAAATAGGAAAGAGTCGTAACAAAAGTCAACTTGCAGTATTAAATCATAAAAAAGAAAGTTTAACAATGATGTTACTTACAGCAGGATGATTTTCTCCCAATGTTTTTTCTCTAATTCCAAGAGCATCATTCAACAAGTTTGCAGCTTCTTTATACTTATTTTGGTCCCTATATAAATGAATAAAATATATAAAAATTGAAATTACATAATGGGCAGTTTACATTAAACCCTAGAGAAGGAAATATGAATAAACTTCTTATATCAGTTTTTTTTATATTTCCACATAAAAAGATATTTACAACATCATTTCTATAAAAAAAATATCAAAGTTTTTTTTATGAAAAAAGAACTGTCAATTAATTTAGAAATTTATTCTATTAATAAGTCATTTTAGATATCACATAAAAAGAAAATTCTCATTTCTTTAATGAAAGAAAGAACACTATTTCTAGAGCAAACTATCTTACCATCTTTCAAATTTTCGTGATTTTTGAATTTCTCATTTTATATTCTAGCTGAAGCCAGTCATTATGGACTTTTTTTAAATCCCAAATAAAAATAGAAAAATCAGGGTTATTTTTCTCCTCTCTGATGTGCAAGAAAGACACCTTTGGAAAAAAAATTCCACAGAAAACAAAAATCATTTTTCAAAAAATTATGCAGAAAAGAAAACCAAAATTTTTTCCTTTCCAAATGAAAAATCTTTCTGCAAAAATTCTAACGTTCTGCAACAATTTTGCCGCAATTCTGCAATGGAGAATTAAAGCTTTAAAAGTTTTTTAAATAAAAAACTTTTGATGACAAATTACATGAGAAATCTCAAATGTAATTCAAAACATATTGAAAAAAATTAATGCCCGCAATGAAACTAAGTACTATACTTACTTCAAGTCTTTTTATTGTTTTCATAAATTTGAGAGTTCATTGAAATAAATAAATTAAATAAAGCATATGACTGACACCATTTAATAATAAAAATATAAACACAGGAACAGCTGTCAGTGAAACAATGGATTGAGTATAAAATTTAATGTTAAAAAGCCTTTATCTTCCTTTTCTATCCCTATTTACCATCAATAGACTTATGATTTTTTTTTTAAACTAGTCTTTGATGCTTGTTATTCCAATATTGAATTCCATATTTTACTAAGAAAAAGAAGGTGGATTTATAGAAGAGGCAAACAAAAAGAAAGTATTTACAGGGTATCTGCTACATTTTAGATTCCACGACTTACCGAAGTTCCGATTTTCTCCACAAAAATATAACAATTAATTTTTTAAAAAAAAGGATTATAACAACATTAATTGAAAAGATAGGTATAACCAAAACTGTTATACTCTGAATTTTCATATTTATTGATTTAACTTAAAAAACTTAAGAACTTAAAAAACACAGTAAAGAAAGAGTTGAAGCAATAAAAATAGCTGAAAAAAATACAAAAGCAAATAATTAAATACTGTCAGATATATGTAGTCATTTAAAGCTGCTTTATTTTTTCTTTAAAGTAAGTGTAATATAAAAAGCCTAAATTAGAATTTTAAATTGATAAAATAAAATAATAAATTCTGAAATCACAGAAGTTTAAAAGATAATTCGCTCTAGAAATTCGAGAAGACCACAATTTTTAAAGAAGACGATAAAAACATTTTATATTTTAATAAAATATGACTGTGAGTGGTGATTTTGATACAAATTTAGTTATTTGGAACATCAGAACACTGGGAGGGGGCAGGTAAATTCCATTTTAAAAATTAAATTTTTTGGGAACCTAAATCCATGACTTTCCACAATTTTTTAAAAAAAATATTTAAAATCATGAAATTTCATGGCAAATTTCGTTCAATACCGAAATCCATAACTTTCCAGGTGTGCAGATATCCTGTATTTAACACTTTTCAAAACATATTTTCTAAAACAAAGATCTATTAAGAGGACATAATATATATTATTGAATAGAAAACAAAAATGACCTGTAGACTAAGGCCAGAATATTAAGCATCGTTGCCACATCCGGATGGTCGTGACCGCTAGTTTTTTCCAGATCTTCAAGGGCCTGCTTACAAAGAGGTACAGCTACTTCATAGCGTCCCTGCGATGCATATTGTATAACGAGATTATGTAGGGTACGCAAACGAGCAGGGATCTCATAACCTGCATTAGCTGACACTGACATTTGAGTAGATGGTGTAGGGGAGAGAGCTAAAAGGATTTTAAAAAAAGTAACTGAGATTCTAATCACAAATAATGCCAAGAAATCTATGTATAGAATGAAAATATAGTTATACAGTCTAACCCCACTATAATGAACACGATTTATAGTGAACTCCCAGATATAGTGAACAAAATGTTTGCTCCCGTGCCTTGCTACCCGCATATGTTATTTTTGTGTGGATATAGTGAACAAAAAAAAGAGAGAGGAATTTGGATATTATGAAATTTTTTCTGTCTTTGACTGATTTATTTCCTTCATTTATAATACATATTCGTAATAATTTTGAAACTTCAACTTCAAAATAAATTTTCCTAGTTTGCTTCATTATTGAATTGGTTCAGCATTCAAAGAAGCCGCAACCTTCCTGTATCTGGATAAATGCTTCATGTCAAAGTCGATGAATTTGCTAAGTGATTTGTTGAGACTACTTTTATGTTCTGGAATTGCTGGCTTTAAACAGCGGAATAACATAAATTCAGGAAAAATTATCGGATAGTCGGGAAGTGTTTCCACATCTAATGTTGAAGATTGCTCATCGGCTAAAGATTACTAATTTCTTTTGTACGCAAGACGAAAAGTAATAAAAAACAAAAGTTAACATATTTTTGTTACTACGTATGACTTTTTCAGTCATTTATTTTTGTTTAATTTTCATTGGTCATATATTTAAATGTGTAATAAAAGGGGGCAGTTTGGAACCATTAGTAAAAATTGCTTGCGGAACGGATATAGTGAAGTTCCGGTTATAGTGAGCCAATCATTTGGTCCCTTAAAAGTTCACTATAGCAGGGTTGGACTATATATAATAAAATTCATTGCAAAGTACAGTAATTTTAAAATAATATATCTGATTCTTACATAACAGTTTTCTAATGACTAAATCTATCTGATTTTATTCCATTCTATTGAAACAAATATAGATAATAATAAAAATGAATGCGATTAATTTTTTCACATTTTTCCAACACAATTAAACAAAATTAAAAAAATCTGTCAAAATTTAGGAATTTTAGAAAAAAAAACTCATAAAAAAGTTCTTGATTTAATAATATTTAAATTATTATTCAAAACAAATAAAAATAAGAGCTATATTTGTTGTTCAAGTATTAAACAAGTGCATGCAAGTGTATTTCCCCTTACCAGAATTTTTTTTTTTTTCTCTTACATCTTTACTTCTTTAAATTAATAAAAATATTCTTATAATATTTTCTTTTTCATTTGCTCCTTTTTTTCTTTATAGTATTAGGCAGGATAATAACAATAAGCATTTTTAAACATTTATCATGAAAAAACCCTAATTCTTAAAAAAGCATTAAGAACCACAATAGCTTTATTAAACTGAGGACAAGAACAAATAAAAGGGGTCCATAATCCTTACCAAATCCATTCAAATCATTGAAGATCTAATTTTTTATTTAATAATTTTGATTAGTTTTAAGATTTAAAACATACTAAATATAGAAAAACAATTCTTTTTTAAAAGTTAATTCCTACTTAGGTCAACAAAGAAACATTTTATTTTAGATACTTTTTATTAAATAATTAAATATTTTCTCATATAATACTAACGAATATTTGAAAAAAAACTGTATTTGAACTTGAGAGGATAAATAAAAAATATTTTATTAACGATTAAAAATTTGAACAAGATATAGGGAGAGTGTGAACTACAGTCAATTCGCTATAACTCGAAGTACGATAACTCGAATATTACTATAACTCGATTTTTTTATGAGGTCCCGACCCCTTTATCTTCAATTTCATGTTAATTATTCTTGATTACTCGAATTTTACTCCCTTTAACTCGATTTTTTTTGGATCTTTTAAAACAAGGAAAAAAACCTAGGAGCTGATATCTTGCCCCTTCCTTTGCAACACACACACAATAGACTCAATTTATTAACAAAACGTAACAATAAATTTTAACAATTAGACTGAAAACGAAAATAATAAAACACGAGAAATAAAAAACAACAGGAGCCTTCAAGAGGTGCTCCTTCCGGCGTGAGTGTATCGAGAAAAACTAAAAAAAAATTATTTTGATTGGCGACGAATTGACGACGCCGAAAAGAATTAATTCGTAACAGACAACAACTGTAAGAATAAGTAAACTTTTTTCTNGGAAATCCTAAGTTTAGAGGTTCTTCACTGTCCGGTTTCTTTTCGGAGACGCTCTCTTCATTACCCTAGATAAAATAGAAATAAATAAAATAAATACACATTGAAAAAAAAAAAGAATTTAAAAAAGATAATAGTTAACGATATAGATGAAAAAGCACATACTTGAATACATACCGTTTCGCTGTCATATTTCTTAAGTGAATTCATAAATTCCAGTTGTTTTTTATCTTCTTCTAGCTGAACCACTTGCTGCTCTGAAGCCTGTAGTTTCTGCTGTGTGTTAGCTAACTCATCTCTCAGCCAGGCATTTTCTTGGCAGAGGCGACGAACCTGCGCTTTCAATTTTTGTTTTTCAGCTTCCACTGTTTGGAGGTGGTTAGCAAGGGCCATCATAACCTTCAAACAATTAAGAAAAATAAATTAAATACGCAAAGAATTAAGATTCGCAGGGATGGTTAAAGTGAAAAGTTTAGGGAAAGACTTAAAGCTGGAGTTCTGAATAAGGAAGAAATCTGAAAATCAGAATGAAACTTCCAAATTTATGTCATATAGATTCCGATTGAGATTTACGTAGCGAAAACATTGTTTGAATTTCATCGGTACAGGCAGGGTGCATAGCCAAATCTTTAAACAAAAATTAAGTACCTTTTAAGTACTACTTTTTAAGCACCCAAAAAATATTTTTAAGCACTATAGACATTAACAAAATGCAATAGAATTTTCAAAGACTCTACATGACCATGTTAAAATAACTAGTGTCTGACAAAGAACTCTTTTTTTGATTATATTAGCCATTATAAAATAATCGAGAGATTTTTCGGTTAGATATCAGAGGGTGGAAAATGAAGCCTGAAATTGAGAATATCTTGCAAAATGCAGCAGAGTTGCACATGACAAGGCAATAATCTCAACCAACCCAGCTCAGTAGATGCACATGTGGACTCGATACTATATCATCAAACATGTCAAATGATTGGTGCTTTCACATGCTATGGACCAACAGTAAGCCGAAATGAACTGTGAAAACGCTGAATAGAACAATGTGAAAAGCATGCTGAATAGAAGAATGTGAAAAGGGAAAATTAAGCACTTTTTAAGAACACCCAATGAAAGAAGCACCTTTAAGGGCTTTTAAATAACAAAAATTGAAAATAAGCACCTTTAAAAATGCTATGCACCATGACTACATGCCTGTGCACTCTATGTGTACACCTAATAATGCAATAATATACTGAAAGCATACCACCACATTACAAACTGACAGATGTAACGTATTGGTATAAATAATTACAGTATAATTGGTAACTTACTGACACACAGGGCTTTGAAATCACTTTGTAAGTTACTCGTTCTTGTTGAAAGTCATTTATAAGAAAACTCACATATTACAACGGTTCAGATAGGATCACTGGGCTGTATCATTTTTATAGGGCTATTTCTTGAACTAATCACCTGCACATGATTTTAGGAAAATAGTGCCACCTATTTGCTACTTTTCAAACTGCATAATATTTGAAGCTCCAATCAGCAGAACGAGCTAAGAGACTGGTAGAACAGTTTAACTTTAGTTTATTCGGTATTTATTAAGATTGAGAGACTTATTTTTATGATTTTTTTCAATTACAATAATTAACTTCAGACAGAGAAATGTGAAGACGCAATTTTATCTTTGTATTGACATAACAAGATAATTTTTTTCCCTGATATTTGTCATGGTTGAGAACTTTATTTTGCATGACACAGAAGTCCTCTCACATTAAATTATACTCAAATCATTCTTTGGCACTATCTCTGAAAATAAGTTTGCTAAAATTAGCTTTCACACAACTTTCAAATTATTTCCTAACAGTTTCAACTCAGCAACTTTTAACCGAAAAATAAGTCTTTGTGTATCAAATTAAAAAAAAGAAGCTGAGGTTTTTTTAAGATATTTTTTGTACTCTTTACTCATGTATAGTATTGAAATTCAAGCTACTTGATAATTAATAAAATGATCATTAAAAATTAACTAATAGACTGTTTAAGATTCTTTAGATTTGTTTTTTCTCTCCACTGTGTGATTTTTTTTCCATTCCAGAAATTATTTTAAAAACGTCCATTGAAAAAAAAAATTTAGAATAAGAGGCATAATATACAAATATATCAGTAGCTAACTGCACAAAATTATAAGAACTCAGAAAATTAAATGTTTGCAAAAGTAATCATTAGATCAAAAGGTAATGTTAAGTACCTAATTTTTTGCTCCACTATTCGGTTTACTAAAAAGTACCAGAATGTTGGCATTGATAATTTAGGGGGTCAATTATTTTACAGAGAGAAGGAATTTTACAGGAATCATAATTTACAATAATATTTTCACAGCTATTGATAAATAGCTGTGAAAATATTAAAGGAATCACTTTTTCCCAAACAAGAAAGGGACCTTTGTGCCCAGGGTTGCAAAAAACCCACCAACCCAGTAAAACCTACCCTAAAGTGTTTTACTAGGTTTTTCTATTCAGTTACAGAGATGTTTATTTCTTAACCTGTTACAGAGATGCCAACTTGCTCCGGACAGTAAATAAATATTTTTGAGTGATAGTTTATTAATGTGTGAATCTCAGTTTGATAATTTCACTTTATTAGGTTTTTATCCACCACTATTTCTAAATAATTCAAAAGCTTATATAATTCGCCACTTTTTCACATTCAATACATGTGACACCATTTAAAAAGTAAACAAAATTAGTCAAATATTTTCAAAATTTTGGTATGTAGTTGTTTAAGGTCTTTTAAATTATTATGGTGCGTCTGGAGCAGTTGGCATCTCTGCTATTATATTAAAGAGCTATTCTTTTGAAATATATATGTAGTCTAGCCTAAGAAATAAACTTAAGGTGAAGAAATTAACAACAATCTGAAAAGAAAAACTATGTGGAGAGTCACCTTGGTGAGATTAGTCAGTGCCTTTGATTCGCTTTCTATGAAGGAAAAAAAGATTTTCTGAAATATTTTTTAAGATTAAAATATAAATAAAAAAGCAATCTAGTGTTAAAATAAGTTTCAAATGTGTGATGTATGTGAATACATATAATATTTTGTAATGTCAGAAGAAACTTTTTTCAAACTTTTGCACCAAATTTATTTGTATTAATTAGAAAATACATTTTAATTACCTATATGTTAAGTCAATCCATAAAATTAAACTTAATTATTAATATTAATATAAGCTTTTTTAAAATAAGGTACTTATCCCTGTCCTCTCTTTTGAGAAAAAAAAAACCTGAAAAGCCCAATAAAACCCACCCGGGTTGGATTTTTCTGAAAAAACCCGGGTTTTTAGTAACCCTGCCATGTGCCCAGGGGAGTGGGAATGAATTAGTTACAATGCAAGAAGAAGCAATCCAAATATTATTTACCTGAGCTTCACCAAGGCCCAGTTCAATAGAATCTAAGGTTTTCTTTATGATGGTTGTTTTCTCTTCAATCACATTGCTGTCATTAGGTTTTTCTAATTTAACAGCACTTAAGGATGTCATAAGGCCATTGAGAATTGAATTATGTTCATTTTTTAAAGCTTCTAAACCTTGGATTACAGTTTTTGTATTGGTAATTATTTCTTCTTGAGTCATCTGCGTCATCTTGCCGATATTTTCGATCTTTTTTCTGAAAAAATAAAACATCGAGGTATTAGTTTTTACATAAAAAAATCTAATTAATTTTAAGTAAATATAAAAAATCAGAATAGGCAGGACAGAATGGATTAATCCATGGTTTAAACCATCCTGCCCAAAACCACTTTATTCAAATTAAGTCACAATTTAAAAAAAAAAAAAAAAAAAAAANAAAAAATAAAAAAAAAAAAAAAAATACAGTGAAAAATAAAAATTTAATTATTATTTTTAATATAGCATTTATTTATCCTTATGCAAAAAAAAAAGCAAAAAAAAAAAAAAAAAAAAAAAAAAAAAAAAAAAAAAAANAAAAAAAAAACAATTTATCAGTATTAAAAGCGCATTTATTTATATTTATATAAGGGATAAGGTATTTCACTTTTGTTGTTCAGTGAATTATGGAGCTTCAAAAGTTATAAATCTTTTCTTATTACATTATATTATTTTCCTTCAATAAGTTAAAGCCAATTCTATAAAAAACATCAAATATTTATTGGTATATGTAATTATTATACGTACAATAGTTACACATATAGAATTTTTACCTCTTACCAATCAGGGTTGCTACCCAAATCTGAAAGAAAAAAAAAAAAAATCCCTGTGTTTTTCCTGTACATACTATACACAATATATTAAGAGGAAACAACAATTACTGCGCTCTTGTGTGAGATATATTGGGCTAACTACATTTATCAGTTTTAATCGCCAGAAAAACAGCTGAACTTAATGTTTTAGTAAATGAAATAGTTTAGTATAGCTGAAATATCCCATAGCTTTGAGTGGTCACCATTTTTTAAAAGACAAAAATAAAAAACAAAATTCCCTGTATTTTCCCAGTTTGAAAAGAAAAAATCAAAATTCCCTGCGTTTTCCCTGTCATTTTAGGTGATTTTTAAATTACCTGTATTTTCCAGGTTTTCCCTGGGGTGTGGCAACCCTGCCAATGTAGAAGGTTTTCGACAGTGTAGGATTAGTTTAGGACAGTAAAATCCAATAAGTCCAAAACCAGATTAGGACGTCTAAAATCCCAACCCCGATAAAAACTATTTTAAATGATTCTGTAGTGCATAAAGATTAGTTTAAAAATGTCAATACATCCTTTATTTTCAACAAAATTGATGTTATGCAAAGAGATGACAGGTTTAACAATTGCTGAAATGAATACTAGCTGTTAAAAATTAAGTCAAAATGAGATTAAAAACACTTAAAATAAAAGATTTAAAACTAAGTCTTAAACCATATTTAGATTAAATCATTAAATAAAAGCATACAGTACCTATAGTACAATATATAGAGGGCATATATTGTGAAACAATAAGTCACAAAAGGAAAACAAATTGTCAGAAATTTATTAAGATAATAAAATGTAGTGGAATTTCTTCTTTTGATACACAGTTTAATTTTAAAGAAGAAAATTAAACTTGAAGTAGAAATTTTTTCCAGTGAACATAATTTGAGATTATTACAATTGCATGTTGTGCTTATTATTATTATTAATTTGCAATCAGAAACTTATAAGACTTTCGCACTTCTCTTTCTTTTTTTCTTCAAGAATCTTAAAAACAATGAGAATGCAGAAATATATTACTGTTTTGCGTATAATTTTTATAATTTATATAAAAGAAAATATAAGTAACACAATATTGTATTCTAAGGTATTATAAATATAATTATAATTTAGCAGTTTCATATTTATTACATTGATGAAGAAAACTTTTTTTAAATAAAATGCTAAAAAAAGAATATAAGTAACTCTTGAAGATTAAGGAGGCGTTATTATATTTAAATGTTAGGGCTGCTACTGCATTTTAATGATAATGTGCTTTAGTATTTTCTAAAAGATGTTAAAAATAGTTTTTTTATTTTCGAATAAACTAAAATTCATTCATATACAGAAGAGAAAATAATAAAAGCCAATCGAGTTTAATAATTTGCGATTGAATTTTCAAATATTAAGATGCAATCATTGTTAGCGAGATATATCTCAAAAATGCTAATTAGAGCAAAAAATAATTTAAGTTACAAAAAAATAAATAAAATAAAAGTCCAATTGTTAAACAGATTTCAACCAAATTTTGGAGTTTTGTATTTAGAATAATGAAGCTGCAAAAATTTTATGCATTGCAACTCAAATATTTCTTTATTATTAAATAAAATAATAAATAATGATAAAAAATTTCATGCAAGAAACTATTATTGGAAAAATGATTTTCATAATCGTGTGCAAAAAGTATTAATTCTTGAAAAAATTAGCTAAAAATATACAGCGAAAAAGAAAGAAAAAAATCGTAATTTTGAACATAGTTAAAACTTAAACTTGACACTTCTTTGACTTAATTATTTTGAAAATATAATTGGATTGTGAGCAAAGGTTTTAAAGGAAAATTTAATAAATATGATTCATTAATTAAAATACATACACACAATTTAAGTAATGGAAAAATTTTGTTTATAACATAAACAAAAGAAAAGGAGCAAGCAAATGTTTTTAGAAAATTGCGGACTTGGTTTTGAAAAATTTGATTTAATAAATATAATCCTTAAATTAGAATACTCCCACATATAAAGTAATGGAAAAAGCATTAATTATGTTACTAAAAAAAGGGAGCGATCAAATGATATTAGAAAACAACGGGACAAATGCTTTAAAAACGATTGATCCTTGTATTAAAATACATATCTTTTGGCCAAGATACATACACACAATTTAAGTAATGGAAAAAAATTGTTTATAACATAAACAAAAGAAAAGAAGGAGCAAGCAAATGTTTTTAGAAAATTGCGGACTTGGTTTTGAAAAATTTGATTTAATAAATATAATCCTTAAATTAGAATTATCTCACATATAAAGTAAAGGAAAAAGCATTAATTATATTACTAAAAAAAGGGAGCGATCAAATGATATTAGAAAACGGGACAAATGCTTTAAAAACGATTGATCCTTGTATTAAAATACATATCTTTTGGCCAAGATACATACACACAATTTAAGTAATGGAAAAACATTGTTTATAACATAAACAAAAGAAAAGAAGGAGCAAGCAAATGTTTTTAGAAAATTATGGACTTAAATTTGATTTAATAAAGTATAATCCTTAAATTAGAATACTCCCACAAAACGATTTAAAAAAAATTTAACGAACATAATTCTTAAATTAAAACACATACTCGCACAATTTATTTAAAAAACAAAACATGGTTAATGAAATAAGCAAAAAGAAAATTTTAAAAAAAAAAGGGTGGGGGCGAGCAAATATTTTAATAAACGAGTTAATAAATATGATATTGAAAAAAAAAAAAAATACAGCAAATAAAACGATTTAAAATGCTTACATTCTATAAACTTTTAAGCTGTCAGACATGGTTCTAGTTGTTAGAGTATAGTAGAGAGGAAAAAACAACACTACAAGAAGAAGAGGGATTGCGTAATCTTATTGAAACATCGTAGGAGATAAAAACCTTCGATTAACCGGCAATTCGACCAGTAGGCTTTTTTTTTAAAAAAAGAGGATTGGATTGAAAAATAAATATTAAGAAGCAAAAACGTGATATGGACGAAGAGTTGCACACAAAAAAAAAGGTGCTCAAGTTTAAATGTTATAAAATAGAGAGCAAGTTTTCTTAGGGACGAATGAATCACAACAACCAGCACAAAAATAGCACACTTCTGATGATGCAAAAAGATCACAACTGGAGGATGGATATAATTAAAATATCAACAGCACATAAGAATAATTTCTTAATCAGCGAAAGAACACATTGAAGTTGGACACAGACGGTACATCTTCTTGGCTTCAGATTTTATCTTTTTTAAATGGTGTGTATGTTTATCTACTCTATAGAAAGGCACTTGGGTACGTTTTGGACGTTTGAAATCGAATTAATTGACAACCAATATTCATTCTGCGTTTATGACAACTAAAACGGGATGGACGGTCGAATCATGGATAAGATTTTGCACTGCACATGCGCACCCAATGCAGAGTTTTTACAGTGGGAGTGGTTGGTGTATAGCAGGGAAGTTTCCGTACATTAGGCGCCTACAGGAAATATCAATGGTATCGATCGACAAGGGAGCACGTTTATAGACAGAGGCAGAACATGCTTTTAGGAAGAATAAAAACATATTCTATTTTATTACGTGAACAGAATAAATGGAGATGAGTTGAAAAACATTTCTTTCTTTTTAACGATTTAGAAAATATCTTTTTATGGAGTTAAAAAAATATTCCCACATGTTGCGCCATAAATTTCTCCTTTCCTTTTTTTCAAGTTCATGATATTTTCTATCATTGATTGAAAAGACGGTCTAGAAAATGGGATATGTTTAACAGACCAATTAAATAAGCAACAGAGACTGCAATTCCTTACTAATAATTTCAGTTTTCCATACTCATGTACCATATGAGTATGGAAAATGAGTTCATGTCGCCCCATATGTATATATATTTTCAGCCTTGAAACATTTTTGAACTTGACTGAAAAGACATCAGAGAAAAAGGGTAAAAATTTAACAAGCAAATTAAATAAACATGGGATGCAGTCTCTTAATATTTGCGTCATATTTATCTCTTGATACAAGAGACACATAGAATATGTAGTTTTCACTATTTCAGTTTTCGGAACTCATGTTCCATATGCTGCACCATAAATGATTCTTTTTTTCCGGTCTCGAAATATTTTTGAACTTGATTGAAAAGACACCAGAGAAAAAGGGTAAAAATTTAACAGGCAAATTAAATAAACATGGGATGCAGTCTCTTAATATTTGCGTCATATTAATCTCTCGATACAAGAGACAAATAGAATATGTAGTTCTCACTATTTAAGTTTTCCAAACTCACGTTCCATATGCCGCACTATAAAAACTAAAGTTTTCCGAGCAAACGGATGATAAAATATATATCAGAACCAAAAATATATATAATAGACCCATAAAATATATAACAGGGGATTCAGTTCCTTAATATTCATCGAAGTTTAATAATAAACTTTTTATACGGAAATAAATATAATATCGTTTTTACTATTTAAGTTTTTTGCATTAAAAAAAAAAATTTAGCATAAAAAATTAAGTTGTTTGCTTTTTCATTAGTCCTAGTTTGTTTTCCATTTTTTGAACTTAATTGAAATAAACAACAATAGGGGATGCATATTCAGTGAAGTTTTACAATAATCTCTCAATATAGCCAAATAGAATACCAATTAAATTATAGCTATTTATTTATCTATTTTTTTGATACAAAAAAAAAAGTTTGCAAAATATTCTGTACTAATTTTAATCGCAATTTGTTAACTCTAGATAACTAAACTTAAATCAAGTGTTACCCTGTAGCTCATATTTAACAATTACAAATTAAAAACAGGCCTATTCATGTCAAACAAATTAACGTAGCTTAAGAAACTGTTACTTTCAAATTTTATTTTTTATTGACATTCTTTTTAACTTCAAATCGTAGTCTAATTAACATTCTTAAATTTCTAATTTTATTAAAATATTGTTAATGGATCAAATTTAACAATTGCAGATTTTGAATACGTTTGAGTATTACGATAATATACCTTTGTAAAACTTGACCATTCGGGAATCTATTCGACGATTCTTTTTCTAATAAAAAAAAAGTAAGTTATGTTTTCTCCTCAAAAAACTAAGAAGGAAAAAATTAGACTATGACGTTAAAATTCAGAAAAAATTACTACGCATCTTAACTCAAACGAAAGATTTCTATCTAATAAAGCAGTCAATTTGAAAGTAATTCACAAAAGAATACTTTTATTTTTCAATTTATACAAAAAAACTATACTTTTTCTAACTTAATTTACAATGATTTTCAAATGGGTAGATTTTTTGATGAGAAGTGCACCCATCCTATATAGACACACAATCTCAATAAATATGAAATAAAAATATTAATTGAGAACAGGAAAGTCACCAGTAGAAATAAATTACACTAAAAAGAAAAATTAGCAAGAAAGTTCTTTTTTGACAAAATAGTCTAGTCTGAACAGTCTGTTTTTGATACTAAACAAGACAGACATTATCGATCTTGGTTCATGGTCAAGAACTTGGATTTCGACCCCCCCCCATAGAGAATATAATGCATCCATTAAAATCAGCATTGCAAGGGTTTAATTTCAACCCAAAACAGTAGTATATATGTATACATACAGAAAACATAAATATTTTTATAAATTGTGCGATCATATATATAAAAATAAAAAATGAAAACTAAGTTTTTCATTAAAAAAAATTGCAGGATGTATTTTTATTTTAAGAGAGTTTCATGACAAGCAACTGAAGATAAAACAAAATGGGATTAAAATAATGAGCTTTATGAATGAGTCACGTGTGTTCTATTACTAAACCTTAATTTGACCGAGCTGGCGGCATTTTAATTAATTTACTAACATGAGTATATAGATCTTTTAAAATTCAGTATAAAAGCAGTTTATTTATTTATTTTTTAAAAAAAAAGAAAGAGTAGATGCGAAAAGCTTATTAAATTTGTAGTACTAAATTACATTTGTTTAAATTTAAGCTATTTTTATAATGCTTTTAACTATACGAATAGGTCTTTTTTTTTAAATTTCTTCCATTAGGTAAAGTTTCTTTCGGGTTTTTTCCAGTTTCTTCTGGTGTGCTGGAAGAATAGGTTTCTTCCGGACAAAATGCAATCCTGCTTAAGATCCCAAATAAATATTTAAACACATGTATAGATATAAAATACCCGGGTAAATACCTAAAACTCATAAATACCTGGGTATTTATCAATTATAGTGAAAATTTTTCAATTGTTATGTTTTTCTCATACAAAATTATATATTTCAGACACGATCAAGCTTTGCTCACATTGTTAATACTCAATTTGTCATTCACTATGAAGAAGAATGCATTCAATTGAACATATAAATTATTAAAAAAATCCTTCTTTAATTTTCCTCATTTGTGGTTTAATCTTCCTTAAATTGAATATTATTCTCAGTACTATAAGTAAGACAAATCGTGTGTATATATGCTTTAAAAAGAACTATATATATATAANATATATATAGTTATATATATATATATATATATACATATAAATAAATAAACCCTGATTTTGGGTAAATACACTACCCATATCTACAATTATGGATAGGGCTATCTTGTTTCTACAAAATAAATCTTAATAATGGAATGAGTTTTCTATTTTTTGACAAAAAAAAAAAAAAAAAAAAAAAAAAAAAAAAAAAAGGAACCGTCAGCTTAAAGACGTTAGCCACAAATAGATTAAAACTGAGTTAAATTATGTTTTAAATATCCTATTCCGCAAGTAAAAATAACGCAAAGATAAACACAACTTGAGCTAGGTCAAGGAAAATACTATTTGAAATAGAGCACGGAACAATAAGTTTAATTAATTAAGTAATAGGAGAACAGGTAGTATTATTTTACAACAGAATAAAGGGAGAAGAAAAAACAAGGTATTTTATTCAGGTTTTAGTATCAAATTAGTTGGTAATACAAACTTTAATTTTTAAAGAATCGATAAATAATGCTGATTTGAAGCAAAAATTACAAAACAAAAACAAATCATTATTTATTACTAATAATATGCGAGCTTATTCTTAACTATAAAACCCACATAACTATAAAACTATAACTATAAAACTCTCTATTAAAAGTAAGAAAGTGAACTTTTTGACAAACATTACACGGTAATTTTTCTTTTCGCATCTAAGCCACGAAAAAAGAAAAGTGGGAACCCACTTTCATTTTTTCTTTTTTTTAAGTTTAACTTAATGATTTTGCATACATAATAGATAAAACTACAAATAAACAGGACGGGAGAAGGTGAATATAGACAAACTGAGAGGTGATTCTGATATATAATTTATTTATTATTATTTATATAAGGTTTTTTTTTCAGTTTTTTTATGCCATAAATAAAAGGGTTATTCTAGCAGATACACTAAGGGTATTTGAAACTGAATAAGTCACTTTTTAAATGAAATTTAATGTTACAATAAACAGTGAACCAACAGTCTTGATAGTGCGTAATCAATTATATTACTGGCTAACAATTGCGAGACAATAAAGAAAAAAACGAGAATTCTTTCATGTTTTTAACGGCAAATCAAATCAAGCAATTTTATTTCAATAGTAATTGAGATGTCAGGTTATAATACAGCAGCGACTAAAAACATTCTAAAAGAATTTAAATGACAATTTTAAAAAGGATTGATCAATCTTGGCAGAGTAATACGGCGAGCCGGTAGGACACGAACTAGACTTACACACAAAAGCATATGTAATAAAACTCGAACCTAATAAACAATATTTTGAGGTTATAAAATGAATGAAAATCTTATTTTTGACACGAAAACAAGCTGAAAATTATGATTTTGACGATTTCAGGGTGCGTAGTTAAATCCTTCAACGAAAAATAAGCACCTTTTAAGTATTGAAAATATTTTTAAGCACTATATACATTAACAAAAGGCAAAATAAATTTTAAAGACTATACATGAATCCGATTATTATCAGGATCATGTAATTAGTTTCTGACAAAGAACTCTTTTCTTGATTATATTAGCCACCGTAAAAAGATCCGAGAGATTTTGCGGTTCGATTTCAGAGGGTGGAAAATGAAGCCTGAAATTCAGAATATGCTGCAAAAGGCAGCAGAGAGTTGCACATGCGAGTGCAATAATCTCACCGAACGCAGCTCAGCATACGTACATGCGGACCCACAAGCATTTCATCAAACATGTAAAATGATTGGTGCTTTTATACGCTACGGACCGACGGCACGCCGAAACGCATTGTGTTTGAATGAATTGTGAAAACGTTGAATAGAACAATGTGAGAACCACACTTTTGCATAAGAAATTGATATAGTAAAGAAAAAATAACCTCATTTTTGAAACTGGAAAATTTAAGCACATTTTAAAAACAC